CAGAGACAAAAGCTTAGGTGACCGAGGAGTTGGGAAACCGCTGGGTGAGAGTTGGAAGGGCATCTGCCTGCGGGACTTCTCAGAGCATTTAATGGGCTACGGTGATTTGTGCCACTCCGGGAGGGAGGGAGGGAGGGAGGGTCAGAGTCTGTTTCTCAAGCTCGTTTGACCTGGAAACCCACTTTCCAAGGTAAAAATCAACTGGGCCGAGTAATGACAGAGATATCAAACTTGACTTTTGGGGCATTTTAATGGGGCAGGCTCGGGGCTGCCTGGGGATGGGACCGCCCATGTCCTGGGCTCCACCCTTATCAGCTTAGCCTCGCTTTCCCGTTGAGAAGCAGCAGCTCCCAGAGGGCGCTCACGAGCCAAAGGCTGCAGCTGGCGAGGGCCAGTAGTAACAGGACTGGGACCGGTAGGCCCCTGCCCACATGGTGGGGGCCCCTCTCTCACAGGACTCATTTGTCCTATCATCCTGATTACACACCACCTGGTGCCATCCCCTTTTCCAGTGCCACTACTCGCTTTGACAAGTCAAGAATTGACGTTCAGGCCACCCAAATTGCCCAGGCTTACACAGGGAGTCTACGTGATAGGAGGCTAGTGTTTTGTGTTGTTTTGTTGTTGTTTGTTTTTGCTTCATCTCCTCCTGTCACGGACAGGCTAAGCTGGTGATTTAAACTGAAAACTTTTTGTGCCCTGGATTCGCCCACCACACTGGCTAGGTTCCACCTTCCAGGGGCCAGGGCGGGGGTCTGGGGGATCTCCTGGGCCCTTTAAGAGAGCCAGGGTGCACAGGTGCCCATGAAGAGGGCGTGGGCTCGGGCTGGGGCGTGGGCTCGGGCTTGGATCCCAGCTGCAGCTGGGAGCTGAGTGGCTCTAGTTTGAAGTCACTGCCGGCAAGTCAGGGGTCCAGCTTGTCTCAGCTTTCCCTTCCCAGAAACAGGGGAGTGCCCTCAGGCTGGTATGTGAATCAAGAAGACCAGGAGCCACCCTGGAAAGGTGAGTGTCCCTGTATCAGTCCTCCGATACATTCGCCAGATGTACTTGTAAGCCCTTCCACCACCCGGGGCAGCTCTGATGGCTCCGTAAGACGCGGCCAACGGCCTTCTCATAGCTGTTGTGGCAGTAAGAGGAAGTAACGGTCGACGCTGTGCACCAGCCACCAGTGGCTGCCCTGTTGCACAGCTCGGCTCTAAGAGGTGTGAGCCCCAGGCAGCTGCATAAATAGAGAGGAGGGGGGTCTTCTGGTAGCTCAGGAGACTTAGAGACAGAAGGAGTGTCGCTGGGGGTAGGGGCTGGGTGGGATAGCAGGTTCCCCCTGTACTCCTTCACCCAGGGGTGTGGGACCCAAGGCTGGACCAAGGTCTAGAGCTAAATGGGCCACACTTAGGGGTTGGCAGTGGCTTTGTATGTCGGGCACAGGACGGGGGTTGAGAGCTCCTGCACTGTGCAGAAGGCCCATGTTCTTTCTCGGTTGCTGCTCTGCTCTCAGCTCAGCTGTGTGGTTTTGAGCAAATGCCTGCCCTTCTCGGGGCCTCTCCAGCCTCATCTAAAACTAGGGAGGGTGCACCTGTATGGCCTGTATTGCCTGCACCTGTGAGACCTCAGGGCCGCGGGCCCTCGAATAAGGTCATCTGCCCCACGGTAGTTCACTGTAATGTGATGAGCTGCTGCAGGAACTGTGCGCTGGTTTCGTGTCGGGGGGCCTGTGGTCCCAACTCTGGCTGCGTCACACCTGACTTTGCATGAAGTCAGGGAATCTGCGGACGTTGAGCGAGGACTTGCTGAGCCGGCCGGGCAGAGCAGGGCGCCCGGTGCGCCTGCAGTGGCTGTGGGCTGTTGGTAATTGCAGCGGTGGGGGTGACATTCCCGCTGTCACCGCACTGCTCCTCCAGAGCGGTAATCACGGGTGATCGATGGCATTGTGGGTGCGATGCTGGGGGACCATCTCAGATCAGCTACCTCGGCTCCCAGGCAGGGGAACCCCAGCTGGGCCAGACTGGCTTGCCATGTGCCCTCACTTTCCCTGCTTGTCAACCCCCCTGGCAGAGGACGAAAAGGTCTCCCAGGAGAGGAGATGGATCCTCAGCCCTGACCCGCAAATGTGAGGGACCTGGCCTGGAGGGTGGTCCCAGCCTCACCTCCTTTCCTGGTTGGGTGGGCCTGGGATATTGGGACTTGGGCGACCCCGACACCCTGCTGGCGCTGACGTGGCCCCAGTGGTGGCTCCAGTGGTGACCCCGGGACCAGCTGAGCCACAGGCCCATGCCCAGCCCTGAACCTGGCTGCAGAACCCGCTGCCCTGCCCCCCGCCCCCAGTACCCACATGCTGGTCTCCTTGAATTCCATCTCCGATCTGGATGGGGATAGACTGGTTCAGGGCCACTCGGAGTAGCAGTGGCAGGATTCAAACCCATGTCTCACTCACTCTGGAAGCTAGCAGGCCTGGGCTGCCTCCGCACTGTGATGCCCCCAGGTGGGCTTCAGCGGTGCCTGAGGGTGGAGACAGCCTAATGCAGGGCAGAGGGTCCAGGGCAGGGGGTTGATGCCCGAGCCTGACCCCCAGGTCCCATCCTTGTGGCCGTTTCTCACCTTCTCCTGTCCTACCTCACCTGTGAAACGGGACCATTTCATTGCACACCTGGGAGGGGTGCTGGGAGCCTAAATGGTATGAGGTCAGAGAAGTGCTCCGCCACCCGCTGTCTACACACCGTCTGTGATCCCCCACCGCAGCCTCGCACGCAGCGCTGACGTTCCCAGCTCGGCCCTCTGCAGGACCCTGCCTGCCCCCAGGGCCTGGGGTGACGCACTGGGCTCACTGACCCGGCTCAGAAGGGCCTGGGTCCCTCTCTGGACCCTGCCCTGTCCTCCTGGAGCCCCCTCTCCCCCTCCGTGTGCTGCCAGGCTCTGGGGCCTGAGCTTAGGGAGGTGGATGCCCCCAGGCAGGGTGGCAGCCAGGGCGTCTCCTCTGTCCCCACCTAAGCCAGGACCTGACCGTCCTGGGCACCCATGTACCACCCCATTTGGGAGGGGAGGCCCGCATCTGGGGACTGCCTGTGCCCCCTGCCCTGGTGTCCGGCTGGCAGGCCCCCGGGAAGGCAGGGACAGGACTCGAGGAGGAGTCCATGCCGTGGGTCGAACACCAACTTTCTGCAGACTTGCTGTGTGACCTCAGGCAGGTCACTTCGCATCTCTGAGCCTCAGTTTCTTCCTCTAGAACCCCTGCTGCCTTGTGAAGGCTGGTGGGAACTCTATGCAGTACCCCATGTGAATATTCATGAAAATGCCTAGCACAGGCAGTGCCTGAAAAATCCCGAGCTCCTTGGGGGGGGGGGCAGCAGTTGCCCACAAATCCCCAGGCACCACAGTGTGGGGTTGGGGGTGTGCTGCACTGCCTGGGTGGGGGTGGGGGTGGGGCCGAGGCCCAGCCACGGTGGCCTGCCCCCGTGGGAGCTGGGAACATGCGAGGCACAGAGGGAGAACTGCGAAGGAACTGAGGGATGCAGGGGGCGCCACCCCCAGGCCACCTCCATACCACTTGGCACCATCAGGGGAGGAGCCAAGGGGCCCTGTCTCGGCTGGTCCAGGAGTGGATCTCTGGCCTGGCCAAGTGGCGGACACATGAACAAGGCAGATGACAGCATCCACCTCGGGACAGTGGGAGGGGTAGATGGGAGATGGATGGTACAGTGGCTCAGCGCTGCGGGTGCCAGGAAGCCCGCCTTGTTTCCGGAGGGTGAGAGCCCCGCCCTGTCCCCGCCGGGCCCCCCCCCCCCACCCCGTCTGCAGAGGACCCAGAGCGTTCTGTTCCTACCGGGAGGAAGAAAGCACAGACAAGCTACAGAACAACCCCACAGCCGAGACACCATCTGTGTTTTCCTTTCTTTTCTTTTAGTTTTTAAAACAATATAGTGCAGACTGCACTTCTCACAGTAGAATATAATGGTCAATTTTAGTATAAAAAAAAAAACATTCTCAGAGATTTGTAAATGCACTTAGTGCTAGAACAGGCCTTGGAGAGAGATACAGTACCGCTTCCGGAGTGCCAGAGGGGCCGGGACTGGGGAGTCGGGCCTTGGGGACTTGAGGGGGCACCCCTGCCTGCCTCCCTGCGCCCCCTGATGGTACGGGACAGGCCTTGGAGGGCAGCTGGCAGGCAAGGAGTTGCATGGAGTCCCACAGTTAAAGCGGGTGGGTTACCTCCTCGCTGGTTCCCGGGGGAGAACCCCAAAGAAGGCAAGGCTCTGAGCAGACCCATTGTTAACCCCTGTGGTGCCTTTGTGCGAACAGAGCGATGGCACCCCTTCCTCAAGACTCAGGAGCTCGCCGAAATAAATACACAAGTCAAGGATGCAAGCGGCGTGTCCTGCAGGGGGCGCCCTTGCGCAGCTCACCCGCAGCTGCAGCCCTGTAAGACGTAAGAGACAGGAGGGGCTGGGGCAGTCCAGGGTTTGGAGAAGGGTGTGGGGTGTGGTTTCTCCGTGTTGGGAAGGGATGGGGCAGGGGAAGGAGGGAGAGTCTAGAGGAGGAAGAGCAGGGGGCCGGGTAGCCCCTGGAGCCTCTATTAAAGTGGCCGTCACCTGGACTGGCCAGTGGGGGACACTGTGGGACCAGTGACCTCCCCTGCTCCTCTTCCAGGTGACTGGGCAGCTTGTGGGGGGAGCAATGGGACCCCTGGTGGCTACTTTGACCCCCACCCTGATTCCAAACCGCCACATTTCTTTCTGCACCCCACCCTGGCCTGAGCTCCGCCCTGGGAGAGCAGGAAGCCGCACTCCTGGTTGTCAGTGGTTTCTCTCCTCACCTCTGCCCGTGTGGAGAGGAAGGTGAGGGCATCAGGAGTGTCCTGGGACAGCTGATGGGTGGGGAGGGGCCTCGCTGAGCAAGGTCACCCTGCCAAACCTCCACAGACATGGCTGCGGCTTCCCTGTGGGCATCGACAGGCCCCTGTGCGCCGGCCACTGCTCTCCAGCCTGCCTCCCCCCAGGGCCCTGTCCCTCTGTCCACAAGGCAGGCCTTATCTGTAGACGGGGAGGCGGATGTGGGCGTGCTGGTGGTCAAGCAGCCGGGGCACGGCCACCGTCTCGTAGCCCTTGCCCAGCATCTGCTCCTTGATGCAGGGCGGCCGGATGTCATTGATGAGATACTCCAGCGACTGCAGGCTGCTGCTCAGCACCGCCGTGTTGCAGGCGCTCTTGCTGGGCAGGCCTGAGAGGGCCTCCGCCGGGGGGCCTGGCAGCTCCCGGGCACCCCCGGGCCCCAGCTCAGAGACCGCCACTGCTGCGGAGTTGTAGCAGTCGCTGGTGGGAGTCACCAGCACGCTGTTCCATGGGGCAGCGAAGTACTGACCCACCGTGAAGCTGGCGGGCAGCCCCACGCTGCAGTTCAGGGGTGAGCCACTGGCCCGCTCGTATGCCCGCCCCCCACAAGCCTCCGGGGACTTGCTGGCCACTGTGCCCCCGCTATAGGCCCGCAGTGGCTGGGGTGGCGGTGGGGGCGGCTTCTGTGGCCATAGCAGGTAATCCAGGCCGCCGTCCATGTACCCCGCAGGCTTGGAGGCTGCAGCCAACGTCAAGGCCGCTGTGCTTCCCTGGCCCAGCTCAGTGCCCTTTCGGCAGTCGGGCAGGCCGGCAGCAGCTGAGTAGGCCATGCTGGGGAAGCTGGGCACCGGGCCGTGCTTGGCGGGGCTGGGGAGGGGCACGGCCACACCCTGGCAGGCGGTGGGCGCCACGCCTGGGGCCTGGCACTGCTGGTTGAGCTGGTAAAGGATGCTGTGGATGGAGGGTAGGTTGGAAGGTGGCAGGGCCCGGCTCCGGCCCGGCAAGGGGATAACGGAGGCGGCAGTGGCGGCCGCCGCGGGCAGGCCCGGTGGCGGGGCGGGTGCCTCGGGTGCCTTGGCATAGGCCAGGGGCCCCAGAGTGCTGGGCGCCGGGTAGGGTGCGACGCCCACCTGCACGGTGGCTGGCGACAGCTTGGTCCGCTTGCCCTCGGCGCTCTTGAGCACGCCTTTGGCGGGCCCAGTGGGTGCGGCCACGCTGGAGGAGACAGCAGCTTTGACGACAGCCAGCAGGCCCTGGTAGCCGGCGGTGTGCTGCGGGTAGGGGCTGTAGCGCTGGCCACAGGTGTCATAGCCGTTGACGGTGCGGCCGAGGTGCTTGTGCTGGGGCACGCGGATGGTGGTGGGGAAGATCTTGATGGACAGCGGGCTGTTGGCCACCTTCTCCGCGTAGGCGTCCAGCTCGGCTGGGCTTGGGTAGCGGGAGGAATGCATGGAGCTGGCCGCCGTCTCACCTGCGGGGACCGGAAAGCACAGGTGAGCACTGACCGGGTGACAGGGAGGCCTGGAGCCGCATGCCCACTGCTCCCCAGAAGGACTGCTGGGGCGCTGGCCGCCCTCCCCTCCTCCCATCTCCATTCACTCACTCGCTTTGTTCCTGCCCAGTTCTTAAGCTTGGGGTCGGCGAAAATAAAGGAGTCAGCCCTCACCGTCAACTGGCTGCACTTGCACCAATGGGACACACTCATGTAACGACACTTGGGTCCGGGGACAGGACCAGCCTCCTGTGAGTCCCCCGCGCCTCCTCCCAGTCTCTGACCACGCTACGGGGAGCGGCTCTCAGTCTTCTAACTACGTGGACTAGCTGTGTCTGGTCTGTGTCCGTGGTGGTGAGGCGGAGCATGCAGCGCACACACATGTGCGTAAGCCTGTCACTTAAGGCTGTGTTTGCGAGGTCCGTCGGGTGGCGTGCGAGGCGGTGGTTCATTTTTCACATCAGCGTGTGGCGTCCATGTGTGACTACATGGCAGTTCATGCGTCCTTCCTGTTAATGGGTGGGAGTCGGTTCCAGGTTGGGGCTGACCCGCGTGGCCCCCTGGTCCCGGGCACATGTTCTGGGAGTTCTGTTCGGAGCGTGCCCAGGAGCAGAACCCGCAGGACGCAGGGGCAGCAAAGGCTCTGCTTTAGGAGACAGAGACCCCACAGCCAGAGTGACGGTGCCAGGGCGGGTGCCCACCGGCAGGGCTCAGCAATGGCCAGGGCTTCACTCTCTCGACTGGTGGTGTCTTTCATGCCAACAGTGCTCCGGCGGGCGTTCGCGCCTTCCACCCCTGTGCGTCTCGGTGCCTGCCCTCCCTCACTTGTCGCATGGGTGGCTCTGTGGGCAGAGCCCAGCACGGGGCCTGCCCCTCGAGGGGCGGGGCTGCCAGTGGGAGCTGCTCGCGTGGGCATTCACCTGGGCTCACATTTCCTGTCTGGCCAGTAGGCAGGTGAGGAGCGGTTTCACCTCTGCGGCCTCCCAGCCCCTTCCTGGGTCTGCCTGTCGCCCGTGAAGCCACTGCCTTGTTTGTGAGCCACACTCTGTGTGTGTCTGGGGGCACAACTGGCTCTTGCCACAGGGGACGTGGGTCACGGGTAGGCCGATCTTCTCCTCCCACCCAAGGCCCCACCCGATCCCTCTGAGCTGGCCAGGACCCTCTTGGAGCCGGAGGCCTGCACGAGGCCAGTGGCAAGGCCCTGGTCGGGCTTTGGAGCTGGCTGGCCTGGTCGTGGGGCTGTGTGACCCTGTGTAAGCTGCTTGCCCGGCTGAACCTGTTTTCTCACCAATGGAATGGGGGTGATGACCATGTCAGGTCTGCAGGGTGACCTGGAGGAACAATTACACCAAATGGCCCAGCAGGGGGTGAGGTGCACAGGAGGTGCTGGGAGATAGTGGCCTGTCTGGGTCCTCGGGTGAAGAGGGCCTTCCAGTGACCCCGGGGGACTCCACTCTGAGCCTCAGTTTCCATGTCTGTGAAATGGGGGTGCCGTGTGGGTGTAACAAGTCGTCCGGGTGCGGTATGTCATCAAAAGCAGGCGCTCTCTGAGTGTGAGTTTGCGCTCTGACCTGTGCCTGGGGTCAGGCCTTCGGGGGGGGGGCAGGACCTGGCACAGTGCAGACACCACGTGCCACCCTTCCAGAGCCTGGCCCACGACCCCCTCACGGGCTCACAGCCACCCTGGGCTTTGATGGGAAGGGCAGGCAGTGTGGGGCCCCTGAGGAGCCAACCCAGCCAGGGCTTTGGAGGTGGCTTTTTGGGAGAGCAAGCGCCCTGGTTAAGGCCACGGAGGAAGGAGGGGAGAGACCTATCTCAGGCAGAAGCAGCAGCTTGGGCTGAGGTCCAGAGGTGACAGAGTGTCCAGGTGGGAACTGTAAACAATTCAGGGAGCAAGCAGACGCCCGGGGCGGTGAGCATGCGGGGAAGGCCCAGAGAGGGTCTTGTGTGCTGGGCAGGGCGTGTGTGGGGCCAGAATGGAAGGGGACGCTCCCACTGCGGGGCAGCAGTCCTGTCCCCCAGGGCACCGGCAGCCAGCGCAGGCTTTGAAGCAGGGGAGCGCAGGGACAGGCACACGTGTCCGAAAGGCCGTTCCTCACTGTCCTGGGGTGCAGGGGTGTGGTCTGACCTGGGCCAGGCGGCAGGGAGGGGAGGGGCGGGCAGCACCCAGAGCAGGCCGGCTGGCACGGGGCCCTCTGTCCCTCTGGCCTGACCTGGGCCAGGCAGGTGGAGCTGGCCAGGGACCCCCGCCCTGACCCTGTCCGGGCCACCCCCACCTAAGTGGCCGAAAATAAACTCAGTGTGGAGAATGGAAATGTCACTTTGGCCAACGGGGGAATCTTTCTCTGAGATTGGATTTAAACTACATTATACAAGCAATTTCATGGGCACTTAGCAGCGCTCGGAGAGTCCCGCGAAAAAGGGACCGGCTCTCCGTTTACCAGCCATAAATCAGCAGTTGCTATAATGAGCACAAAAATGTCACTTTTATGCAATTTTACAGATGAACAAAACTGGTGAAATTAACTGCGGTAACCCTACTATAGTCAGCAAAAGCAGCTGCCGGGGAAAAAATTATATCTGTATGTATTTTTGTTCCCCTTAAACTCTCTTCCCAAGCAAGTTTCTGCCATTGTGGTGTGAAAACTCATTTGTCCTCACCATTATACTTGCATTTGGAGTTTATCTTGAGTATCCAATGAGCCACCAACTGTGAAAATGATTAAATCTACAAAATCTATCTAATGGATGGAATAAATTAGGTGTTTAAAACCTTAAGGAGAAGGGGGCTGGGGGAAGCAGGGCCTCTTCGTAGTCCCCACTCGTTGAAAGAAAGGGCCCATCTGGCCTCTCACAGCTCAACGGGGCTCCTTGGGAGGGGGCGGGGGTCCCCCTGGCCTCTGTCGGAGCCAATGTGGTGGTGGTGTAATGTGCAGGCTGCCCTTGGGTGGGTGCTCAGCACCGGCTGGGCACCGAGCCCACAGCTTGTCTCCGTGGCCCCCGTCTGGAGCCCCTGCCAGCTCTGAGAGGTGGGGGCGGTCCCCACTGGAGAGATGAGGAAGCAGACGAGTCATAGCATTTGGCAGGTGGCCTTGAAGACCTTCCACGCTGCCCACCCCAGTCATTCTCACGTCCCTGTGCTCTTGTCCTTTGTGGTCCTCCTTCCACTGCAAACAGGGCCCACCTGGGAGATGCTGTGCAGGTGAAGGAGTGTGACCTCCAGGACGAGGTCACAAAGGGCACCGCAGCTTCCTGCTCGCTCATTCTCTCTTGGGTCACTTGCTCTGGGGGAAGCCCTCGGAGGGAGCCTACTTGGGGGTGAGCTGAGGCCTCCTGCAGAAGCACGTAGGCCTCCTGGAAGCGGGTTCCCCAGCCCCAGTCAAGCTTCCAGATGACAACTCGGCTTTAGCAGTGACACAGAGCAGAACTGCCCAGGGAAGCCACTCCCGAGGTCCTGGTGCACAGAAGCCACGAGCACCACTCTGCGATTACTGACAGCTTACGCCCCTACGTTTTGGGGCAACTTGCTACACAGCAATAGGTAACCAACACAGAACCCCGTTTCACAGAGGAGGGAAAGGGCGCTCAGAGCTTCCCGGGACCACAGGACTGGCAAGGGGCAGGGCTGGGGTCTGGCCCGGTCTGCTCCCCAAGTCATCTTGCCCATCTCCCACCCCTCCCCCTGCACCCCAGCCAGGCCCCGGCGGAAGCCAGGAACCTGGTGCTGCTGCCCCTCTTCTTCCATGGAGTGAGGACAGACAGAGCCGGCCTGCAGCTCCTCCTGTAAAGGCCCAGAGGGGCCGGGGGTGACCCATCAGAGCCCCCACGGGTGGGCGGCTGGGGCCTTGGCTTTTGAGCCAGTCACGCCTGGACATGTGCTTGGGTGGGCCTGCTCTTTGGTGTTTGGTGTGTGAGAGACTTCGGGTGGACCTGCGGGTCACCAGAGTCCCTGTCTCAAACCTGGCCTGGCCGGGGTGCTGCTGTGGCCCCTGCTTCACACCTTGCTCCTGACGTACCCTGGGTGCCTCCGACACAGCCTTTTCCACCAGTGGGGGGGCCATGACATGGGGTCCCTGAGCCCAGTGCAGTTGAAGGCTCCCCACCTTCCCCGGGAGGTGGGCCCAGCCACCAGTTCAGTGCCACCCAGCAGCCCGGCTTTGGCAAATGTAACAACACAGAACAAGGCCTCAGTGAAGGAGCCAGCCGAGCCGGCTGTCTGCAGGGGGCTTTCAAGCAACGGTGAGGATGGAGGGCAGCGCTCACAGGGCTAGTGTGGCAGGGGAGGCGGCCCATGGCCCTGTGGGCCCATCGGGAAACCCCAGGACCCAGCTCAGAGGCTGCTCCCCGCCTGCCTTCCCTGGCTCTCCCAGCTGGGCAAGGGGCCCTACCAGGGGCCCCATGCACTGCTTCTGGCTGCCGTGAGCTTGTCCTCCTCCTCCACCAGACGTGGGCTCCCGAGCTGCCTTGTTCGCTGTCGTGTCCCCACTGACACATAGTAGGTGCTCAGAAGTGTCGTGTTGCACGGACAATGGGGCTGCGACCAGTGGAACCCAGGCAGCCTGGGAGCCCCTGTTCACGGCCAGTCAGAACACCTGGGGGTCAGCCCTGGGAGGGGCGAGGCCAGAGAGAGCCCCGTGGAAAGCTGCCTTCCAGAGGCCGCCCCCCAGCCCCCCATCCACCTGAGCTTTCGGAGTCCCTCCTGTGTGCAGGCGGTGCTGCCCTGGGCCTTGGAGATGCAGCGGCAATCAAAGCGAACCCAAGTCTCCGTCCTCACAGGGCTGGCAATCTAGCAGGGGGAGATGATGCTGTAGACGGACTGTGCCACCTCCGAGCTCCCAGCCGCCTCTCTCTGGGAAACCCTGCAGTGAGCACCTTGGTGCGAACTGAGATGCTTGGGCAGTGCTCACGGCGGCGGCCTCCTGGCTCAGCCCTCCCCACACCCGAGGGCCCTGCCCATGGCCCTGTGCCTCTGCTCACTG